CCCAAAGGCTGCCCTGCCCTGCCGCTTGCGTGTGAAGTGGACTCAATTCTCAAGCCAATTTGCACACGGTTAATCAAACGGCATCAAACTTGTCAATCCCGCAGGACCCCTGGAAGGTGCACTACGGCTGCGGTGTAGCTACAGTTGCGCAGGTCGACACGCTGTCCGGCAGCCTGGCAGCACTTGAGCCCCGGATCAACTCTGTAGCGGCGCAGACCACCTCCGCGCAGGCCAGCCTTGCAATTGGGAGCAACCAGACCGCCACACTGAGGGCTGAGGTGGACGCGCTGACTGCGGCACTCGCGGCGCTCCGCGCCAAAGTGCAGGAACTTCAGAAGAACGCGAGCAACGTTAACGCCACCGACCCTGGCATCGCACAGCAGCTCGTCGCCCTCGCCGCAGCCGACGCAAGCAATGCGCAGAAGATGGCTCTGTTGGAGGCCGCCAATCGGTCCGCCACGCAGGACCTTGCCGCACTGCAAGCTGCGTCGCAACAATGCGCTTGCGGAGCAGAGTTGTCGGCCGTCAACGCCACTTTGCAAGCCATCCAGTTAGTGCAAGGGGCGGAGGCCGCGGCCACTTCTCTGGTCAACACCACCATCAAAACCCTCATATCAACAGTCGCCGCCGACAGGGCCACTCTCGCGTCAGTCAATGCCACCATCGCCGACCTGACAGCTACCGTCGCCAACGCGTCTGCCATTGTGTCGGCCATTGACCTGAGCACCTACGCCAAGACCGCCGATCTTGCCAACATCGACGCCGCCTCGTTGGGCGGCGTTCCGGCGAGTCGGTACCTGCGTTCAAGGGTTGTGCTTTTTGCCGAAAGCAGCACACAACGGAACGGAGCCTTGGGTGGCCGCTCTGGAGCTGACGCCCTCTGCACCGCCTCCACAGTGCGCCCCGCTGGGCTCGTGCAGGTGCGCGCCTTCCTGTCGGTGTCTGCGGCTGACCAGATCAAGGACTTCCCGGCCCTCTATGGAGTGCCCACCGGCCTCCCAATTGAAGGGCTGAGCGGCATCCTCCTAGCCAGCAACTTCACCAGCAGCCTGCCGAACATCAGAGTGACCTTGACGGCCGCCGGGGTGCTGCCGGCCGCAGCAGATTTCTGGTCTGGCAGCGCTCCGGATGGCACGGTGGGCGAGGTGTGCACGGGGTGGAGCACAGGCGCCGCTGATGTTTTCGGGACTTTTAGTATCTCAGACAGATTTAGCCAATTTCTTCGTCGTGGCGATTTCTCGTGCGACAGTTTATGCTACCTGATGTGCATCGCATTTTAGCTCCCTCATGACATGGACAACGCTTGCATCGATGATGAGTATGATGTTGCATTACATATTGTACATAGATTTCAAGCGCGCGCTTGTGCGCGCGAGAACGCAAGCTATGCATACCAGTAAACCTTGCTGTAGAGCGTGTGCAATTGTAGGGATGCACCCTGGCTTCGGTTGTGCAGACAGCTCCAGCTCGCACACTCACGTGTAACAGCCAAAATCTGAGCCGTGCGATCGCAGTGGCGGACACAGGCGCTGCGAACGGCGGGGGACCGACTCCTGCCGAGCGGGTTTGCAGCGTGCTTGCGCCCTTTTGGGCGGGCGGCGGATCGTCTATGCTGCGCCTGCCATCAACCCGCAGCGCTGCCTGTGCCAACGCTTGCGCAATTCTTCAGGCGTATGGAATCCCTCGCATGTGTCTTCACAAGCTCATCACCACTACCCTGCCTGGATGGGTACTTTATGGGTCTATAGTAAATGATGCTAGCACCTCCTCGCACAGCGTGCCTTTCATGCGCCCTGTGCCCTCACTCGCCTTGGACATGGCTGCGGGTGGTGCCCCGCGCGCCCCTGCCCGTGAGTGCCTTTGGGCAGCAGCAGGGCCGCATGCGACCTGCTGCTGCTGGTGCTCGAGTCGGTGCATGTGTTTGTGCGCTGCGCAGGTCCGGCTGCAGTTATGAGAGCCCTGGAGCCTGCTGGATGCTCAGCGGCCCGGCGGCGGCATGGGGGCCATGTCGAAAAGCAAAGGGCACTGTGATTGGGTGCAGCGCAGGCGCGCCAACCCAGGTGGCTAGGCAGGTGGGTTGCGTGGGCACTGCCTTGGTCGTGACTCCCTTGCATGCTGTGTGGGTGAAGGGTGATGGCGGTTGTTCAGCGTGATTTCGCTCCTGTGGGCGCCATGATATGCCAGGGTCGCCGGCTGAGTTGCTGTCAGTGGGCGCCTGCGAGCAGGGGTTGCATGCCAAACTTTCACAATGGGCCGCGCGTGCTTGAGACCCCTTGAGCAGGCAGGCCACCTGGAAGGTTGGCGCAGCGTCGGCCGAAGTTGTGACGGCTGCTGTGACCGTGCTCTGGTCGGGCCAAGGCGCAAGGCCCTTGACATGCCGCGTCACCCCGCCCCCTCCCCGGGTCGCCCACAGCCACCGACCAACCAATGCATTGCAATAGCAGTGCCATGCACAATCAATGCACGTGCATATGCGTGGCCTCTGCGGCCGCACGCCTGACCCGCCCTCTCAACACCACCCCACAGCCAATCTTCCCCTCGACGCAGGTGCTGCGGGCGGCCCGCGCGGTGATTGTCACTGCCACTGCCGCCAGCCACCGCCCTGCGCCGCCGCCTTGTGGCGAGGCCGCCGCCGCCGTGGACGCGCCCCAGCGCGCCGCCCCTGGCCGTTTGCCCTTCGCCGGGCGCAGCGGCAATATCCCCACGCACCCACCAGGCCCTACCAAAGCGGCCGACTCACGAGGGGGGGGCGCTCACGAGGGGGGGGGGTGCCGGCAGCCCCAACAGCAGTGCTCTGCTGACATCCAGCAGGGTGCCAGCATCAGCTACCAGCATCCAGATCTCCCCATAAATACGGCCAAAGGAAAGCTGGATCCATTCCACAGTTGCCGCAAGCAGGTGGGCATTGAATCTGATCAGGCAAACCCGATTTGTATTGGGGCACACGGCACCAGGTGGCACTCTGCGCGGGTCTCGAGGCGACCAGTGTGCTCGACCTGTCGGCTGGTTGGTGGCTGTGCACTGTCTCAAGGCCGCACCAAGTAGAGCCAGCTGGTCAGGCGGGGTGACATGGCAAAGAGGTACACCGCCTGCGCCATCAGGCTATGACATCCTGCTGACATCAGTCGCTGCAGTGCCACCCATGAACCCAACCGTCACTAGGCCATGCGCGGCGTCACCGCTGACCTGAACGCCGCAGTTGTCTGGACCTACGGAGAGATCAAGTATGGTCACTTACGAATCATAGGCACGTGCAGCCAGCCTAATTCCAGCGAACAACCGATCTCACAGCCGGGCACCATCTACTCGCGCGAAGCCCCTCACCACTATCATCTGTACTGAATCAATTGCACACGTTCTACTCGCCGTGAATCGTGCTGCCGATATGGGATGCTGCCTGAGCAGCGCGTCGCCGCCGCCAGTGCTGCAGGTGGCTTGGGGTGTGCCAAGTTTGCGCCAGTCTGAGGCAACAGCGGCGGCGGCGGCAGCATCGCGGCTGCGTTGTCCAGGGGCCGGCGTGGCAGGGTGGCGGCTTTGCGCCAGCGCCGCATGGCACCACATCGCTGCTGGCGAGGCGCCATGCAGCTTTGCTTGTGGCGTTGCGGAGGCAGGGCTTCAGTGGGGCGGGGGCGCCACCAGATCTGCGCCCCGGCTCGTGCGGTCAAGTGAGTGGCCTTTGCAGCCTTGTTGGGTGCGCTGCCGCGGGTCCCTCGGCAGCACGGAGCATGGCGCTCGCAGCGCCGCGCCCTGGGGCCGTGTGTGACGCCCGAGACACGGCTGTAAGCGTGCCCCTCGCGCCGCTGCCAGTCGGCGCCCTTAAGCAGCAGCGACACATGCGACCTGCTGCCACTGGCGCCTGAGCCTGTGCATGCATGTTGGTGCTGTGTAGGCTCGGCTACGGTGACATGAGCCTTGCAGCCTGCTGGCTGCTCAGCAGCACTGGAGCGTCCACGTCCAAAAGCAGAGGGGTCCGAGGGTGCGGCGCGGCACGTCAGCCCCGGCGGTCAGGCAGGTGGGTGGCATGGGGGCTGTTGGAATCATGGGTCGCCTGCATGCCGTGTGAGTGAAGGGCGATGGCAGTTGTGCAACGTGATTTCGCTCCTGTGGGCGCCGTTGGATGGCAGGGGTCCTGGCTGCACTGCCATGAGTGGGCGCATGCACGCAGGGGCCGCAAGCAGGTTGTTCAGTTGGCTGCGTGCGCTCGACAACCCTCACGCAGGTGGGGTAGCTTGAAGGTTGGCGCACTGTCGGCGGCGGCTGGCTTCATGGCAAACATCCCGGATCCAGCTCAATGACATTGGCGGCACGGCCTTCTCCAGGTGCGTCCTTTGCGATGAGAGGGTGCCTGCGGCAGCTCCTGTGTGAAGGTTTCTGCTGCTCCAGCACAGTTGTTATCACTGGATGCAGTTGACCGTGCGTTGACCAGCACCCGGCCCAGTGCACAGCAGCACACCAGTTGGCAAATCAGCCTTGCACCGTGCTGCCCCACAACGCTGTATAACAATCTCTCGACCTTTTTGAGATTGTACTGTGTGCTTCCATACAGTCGTCTCCGCTCTCAGGTCCTTCGCGTTCGCCCGCTGTGTCCGGCCCGGGCTCCTCTCGCGGGCCTCGCGGCCACTACGGTGTTATCTACGTCAGGATACGTCACCAGACCCGGTCCACCGGCCCCAGGGGCCCACTTCTCGTCGTCGTTTAAGGGACTTGCTATTCGACGAGTTGCACACCAAGCCGTGGACGCCCACGGCCATGGAGGCCTCCAAGGAGACCTCCAGGTCTCTCTTAGCCACAACCGAGCTGCTGCAGGTGCGGCGGATGCGGACATGCTGCATGCGGGCAAGCAGCGGTGGTGCCGGCAGGCGCAGCAGCGTGCCCTGCGGCGCGTGGCTCAATGGTGTGTGCCGCGGCGCGCCCAGGGGGCTGTGCCCTGTGCGGCAGCACTGACTGGAACCCATCCTTGCATTCTCCCACCCTTTGCCCTCCCAGGAGGTGCTGAGCACTACTGAGGCGCTGGCGCGGTGCAGCGCCACGGGGCCCTGGCGCGACGGCCACGCGACAGCCCTGTGCGCGGTGGCCGTGACAGCAGACAAGTTTACAATCACCGAGGACGACATTGCTGCGCTCTTTAAGGGCGTGCGCGCGTCCATGCGGCGGCTGCAGCGGGGCCGGGCTGGCGGCGCCGCCGAGGTGCGCCACTGTTGCTTGTTTTCACACGCGCCGCATTTGTTTTGCCGACGGTTGCACTCTTGAGTTGACGCACCCCTTGGCACAAGCCCGTGCGAGGGTGCTTCTTCGCAGCAGCCAACGTCAATCGTTCCACTGATCCTGGTCCGCGCACCCATCGCAACGACCCTGGCCCTGAAGGCACCAGGGGTTGCAGACATCGTCGGCTGCAAGACTTACGCCGGCCTCGACGCCGCCACCACCGTATCGCTGGACACCGCCGCCGTGGTGAGCCGGGCTGCGCGTCATCACAGGCGCAAAGGGATAGGGTCGTGCTGTATTTCGATCGCAGTGATGCCTCTTAGGCTGCGGCTGCGCACAGCCCGTTGGTGCGCAGTGGGTCAATCACGTTCCATGCGCACGCACGCACCTGTGGCTGCGTTCTCAAGCTCTGCTCGCATTTTCGATGTCCTGCAGGAGTTCGCGGGATATGATGCCGAGAAGCTTCAGGTGAGGCTGATGGGCTGCAGGTTTGGGTGTGAACAGGGCCAGGGGGTGCGCGCCCTCGCGTGTCCCGCTAAAGCCGTCAGCCTACGAAGCACCAGGGCACGCGTGAACACCTGCTGGCCCGCCCCGGCCCCTGCAGCCCTTCCAAACCAACCCCACAACACCCTCCGCCGCCCGGTCCCCCTCGCAGCGCGTTGTGGCCGTCGTCGCGGGGCGCCTGCAGGCGCGCCTGACCATTGAGGTGCACGAGGCATCACTTGACGCCGTCACCAGCACCAAGGCAGCCGCCGTCGCCGGCTTTGCCAACCTGCGGGGCGGCCCCGGGCGGCGGTCTGCGGCCAAGAATGCCCAGTCCAGAGCGCTGGTGGAGCGCACTGTGGCAGGAATGGAGGAGTCGGCGATCAAGGCGGAGCGCTGGGCGCGCCGCGAGGCGGCGTCTTTCCGCCACCGCGTGGCGCCGCTGCTTGAGGAAGGGGCGCTCAAGGTGGGCGCGGCTCTGCGCGCGAGCGGGGCGCGCGGCGGGCGCGGGTGCGTGAGGCTGGCAAGACCAATCATTTTATTGTAAGCTGTGACTGCGGCTGTCAGCGGCGCGTGTGAGTGTGATCATTGCGACCAAAGCTCGCTCGTCCCTCCGACTGCTGCCTCTCCCGCCGCTCATGCGTTCCCCATGCTCCTCCTGCCGCCCCCCTCCCAGGCCCTGCCCCTGCAGCGCGTGGTGGCGCTGTCCGTGGCTGCCCAGAAGGCCGCCACCAGCCTGGCCAAGGAGATGGCTAGGCACACTGGCAGGTGCCGCGCCGCCACCGGCTTCCTCCGCGCCAAGTGAGTGCGCTGTCGGCCGCGCGCCCTTGCTCAGGCGGCGGGGTCGTGAAAAGCGGTGTCCCCGCCGCGTCCGTCGCATGCCCCGAGGCCGCCAAAAGCCTATGCGCGGCGTGGCTGATTTCAGGCTCGCACCGATGCGGAGCCCGCACACGCACACACGCTTTGCGGCAATCACCGCAACGCGCAGCCCCTACCACACACGCCCGGCCTCTCATCTTCCGCAACACGTCACCCTCCCAACCCTCAGTGCGGAGCGCGACCGGCGCCACCATGCCACCTACCGTTGACGCGGCCAACAAGGCCGACACTGCCATCGGCGCCGCCACTGCCCACCCGCTGCTGAGCACCGCGCCGCACGTGAGCGCCAGAGGGGTGCTCCGGCTAGTGGACTTTTGAGCTGCGAGCGGGGCGGGTGGTGCGGCTGCTGTGACTGTGACTCTTGGTAGCTGTGGCGTTGGGCCCTGTACATGCCGTGTCGCCCTCGGACCCTGGCCTGTGTTGCTCGCCACCACTGTCCTCACAGCGCCTTGAACTTCCCTGCCTTTGGCCCTGCGGCCGCGCGCCTGACCCGCCCTCACAATATCACTGTTGCTGATCTTCCCCTTGACGCAGGTGCTGCAGGCAGCCCACGCAGTCATCACCGCCGCTGCCGCCGCCACCACCAGCCCCCAACTGGCGCCGCCGCCCTGCAGCGAGGCGGCCGCCGCCGTCGACGCGCCCCAGCGCGCCGCCCCTGGCCGTTCGCCCACCGCCGGGCGCAGCAGCAAGATCCCCACCCACGGCCCCACCAAGGCGGCCGACTCGCGTGGCCCCCCTGGCAGCAAACCCGACCCCAGCCGGGGGGCCCGCGCGGCCGACGAGGAGGCCGCTGCTGACGGCGCCGACGGCGCCGGCCCGCTGCCGCCCACCCCGGAGGCGGCGACGGCGGCGGTCGCTGGTGACGCCTGCGCCGGGCCCTGCGGTGTGGCCGGCGACAGCACGGCCATGAAGGAGCTCCCTGGCGCGAACGCCAGTGCTCCCCCCAACAACAAGAAGCCAGACAAGCACCGCCGACCGTCCGACGGCGGCGCCGACGGCCCCGCCACTCCCACTTTCGCCGCCGCCCCGCGCAGCCTGGCGCCCTGCATCAGCTGGGGCAGCGCGGCGGGCCGGCTCGGCAGCGCCGGCGCGCCCTCAAGCCGCCTCGGCAGCGGCCCCGGCAGCGCGTGCTGCCTGGGCAGCAGCGGCGGCGCTGGAGATGAGAGTGGTGTCGCCATGCCCGCCGATGTTGCCGGCATGCCGAGCGAGGCCCCGGCCAGCAGCAGCGGGCCCGCCGTGCAGGCGGAGACCCCAACAAGCCATGAGGCACAGTGCGAGGCCGGCGCTGGCTATACGTCGCCCTCCAGTGGCATGTGGGACGGCCTCGAGCTTGGCGCCGGCTGGCAGGCCTTCCAGCCTGCGGCCCCGCCCTGCGCCCCCAAGGCTGTCTCCCGCTGCACCAGCCCCTTTGCCGCCGCTGCCGTTGGCAGCGCGTGGGCTTGCGGCGACCCCTTTGATGGCGCCGCCGATGAGGCGTGCGGCGCGCCGAGCGGCTGGGCGCCTTCCGGCGGCAGCGGCAGCCGCTTTGAGGGCCTGGGGGCCGTGCATACGAGCGGCTGTGAGGGCGAGAAACCGCCGCAAGAGGGCTTTTCGGGCCTTGGCGCCGGCCTCTTCACCGGCCTTGATGCGGCAACGTTTGGTTATGATCTTGGGGGCACAGGCGCACCGGCGGCGCCTTCCAGCTTCACAGCTGCGGGTGATGATTATGCGCGCCCCGACCCTCTCGCGAGCGGCGCCACCCCCGACCATTGGGTCTTTGGCCCCCCGGCCGCCGCGCCCGCGCCCGAGGCTGGCTTGGCTCCCGGGTTTGCGGCCTTTGACGGCGCCTGCTATGTGCCTGAGCCGCTGCCCACTACGACCCACGCCAACCCTTGGGTGTTTGGTGCCCCTTGCGCCGCGCCCGCGCCCGAGTCGGGCTCTGACCCCGGCTTTACGGCACATGACGGCACATGCCACTCTCCCGAGCCGCTGCCCAATACCGCCCACGGCAACCCTTGGGCGTTTGACCCCCCGGTCGCCGCGGCCGCGCCCGATGCAGCCCCTGCGCCCGACTTTGCGGCCGGCGCTGTCTTCACTAACATGCCCGATCCCTGGGCGCCCGCCTTCCAAGAAGCCGCCTCGCCCGGGCCTGAGGCCGCGCCCGGGCCGGGCCTTTTTCAGCCGCTAGGCGGGGAGTCGCCCCTGCGGGCCGAGTCGCTGATCGTGCGGCTCAGCTCGAAGGGCTTTGCGCTGGACCCTGTTGGGTTCTTAGCAGCAAGGGATGAGCTGCTGACCCCCTGGGCCCCCCAGCGCCCCACCCTCAAGCCTATGGAGGGCCGGCCCCTTTTGAGGGCCGGCAGCGGGTTGGTGGGAAGGGCGTTTGTTGAGCCCATCACCGACGAGGCGCTGGCGGCACTGGTGGACGGCCTGAGGCGGGGCGGCGGCTGCGACGTGGCCGCCGTGCTGGCCGCGGCCGGGAACTATTCTGGCGTATTCGACGCCATCTGCGTTGTCTCGGCCCTCGCGCCGCAGCAGCTGGCGCCCGCCTGGGGCGCGGCCGGCGTGCGCCAGCCTGCGGCGCTGCTGCTGTCGCTCATGGCAGCCCTTTTTTCGGCAGCAACAAGATGGCAGCAACAACGCGGGGTTTGCGGGCACGCGCCAGGTCCTGATCCGGGACGCGCTGCCTCTAGCCTTTGCGGGGACCGGGCTGGTGTGCGCCGACCTGCCCGCCGGCGCGTCCGCCGCCGACGTGGCGTGGCGGCTGGCGGGCGTGCGCGGCACGGCGGAGGCGGCGGCGCTGGCGGCGGGCACGTGCGTCCCGTGGCTGCAGCCCGAGGTGGGCCAGGCCGCGGCGGCCGCGCTGGCCGGCTATGCGCCAGACCCACAGGAGCAGGAGGCGCTGTGGGATATGGCGCGGACGGCGGGCCGCAAGCTGCGCGACTCTGCGCCCGACGCGCTGCTGCCGGCGCAGCTGCTGCGGCTGCTGTCGTGGGCGGCGGACTGCGCGTGCGACGCTGAGCGCGCTGTGCGGCTCGCGTCCGCGCGGCAGCAGGCCGGTCGCGAGGAGGTGGCCCGCCAGGCGCTGGCGGCGATGCCGGCCGACGCGCGCGCCGAATTTTGGCGGCATTTCAATCAAGTCGTTCAGGCAGCGCAGCAGCAGGCGGCGGAGCAGTCAGCTCAGCCACAGCCGGCGGCAGAGGCAGGGCCGGCTGGGGCGCAGCAGCCCAGGGGCCGCGGCGCTCAGCGCGGTGCGGCGGGACCCATGGTGGTGGTGCAGGAGGACGAGGGTGCGGAGGCTGGCGCTGGCCGGCTGCCGTTTGGCGCGGCGGGTGGCTGCGCGCAGCCCATGAAGCTGCGGCGGCCCGCGCGGCTGGCGATCGCAGGCCCGGGCGCTCGCCTGCTGCTCACGGGGCCGGCGGCCGCGGCAGGCGGAGCGCCGCAGCACATGCAGCCGCAGCCGTCTCGGGGCGCGAGCGAGGCGGCGGCGCAGCCGGCGGCCCTGGAAGATCGGGAGACAGACTCACACCACCAGGGCAGCGCGATTGCTGCCGGTGGGGCCACGCCAGCGGGCGGCGTGGAGCTTGCAGCTAGTGCAGGGCTGGCGGCGGCAGCGGGCAGCGGTTTCGGCCAGGAGCAGGGAGGCGGCGTTCGCCTCAGCAGCCGCGCGCCCTCGGGTGACGAGGGGGCTGCAATCGCGGCCGCGGCCGCGGCGGCGGCGGCAGCCGAGGCGCTGGCTGAGGCCCGGCGGCGCTCGCGGCGGAGCACGCTGGCCCGCTGGGGTGGCGGCACGGCCGCGGCGTTTTGCTGCGGCGCGCTGCTTGCGCTCTGCCGGGCGCGCCGGCGCTGACCGGGCCAAGCCTGCGAGGCGCATCGATGCGCATACCCGCCCCTTGCCCAGCTTTCTGATTAGCCCGCGTGCAGTCAGCGGGCAGTACTTGTTTGGATTGCGTTGGCGCCG